GGGGGGGGGGGGGGGGGGGGGGGTACAGCAGTTTAATAAATAAATAAATAAATAAATAAAATAAATGGTGTAAAGTGTTCTGTGAATCCAGAAGGAGACATTACAAAAAAGGAAAGGGTGCTTATCAAACTTGAGTGAAAAGGGGAAGGAAACAGCACAGGAAGAAGTAAATGAGTTTTACATAATATTGCTTAACCCAAAATGGAGTAGTATAATAGGTATAAAAAGGAAAGCAAATTCAGCAACAGAGCACAGCAGAAAGCACCACATTCCTCAGCTGCTGGTTTTGTCTTCCTGAAAAAGTATTGTTCCAATGTATTCATGTAAGAAAAAGTGTAATTAAAACATGGATATTTGATTACTTCTTTTCCTCTATGCTCCCTATCAGGTAGCTAGAGACTTATTAATTAAGTTGAACTTGGTTAACTTTCTTCTGCAACAATTAATTCCAAATATTTATTTATTTTTGTTTAAAGGAGCACTATGACACACCAGCTCATTGGTGGGTAGTGATATTAAAAAATAAACTGAAATTCTAGAAATAAACAGGCAAGAATGTTGGCCTTGCGTGCATTGCAAAATTGATTGTGCAGTGTATCTGTGCTAAGACAAAGTAAGATGTGAGAAAATAATAAAGATTGCACACAATATCACTTGTATCTTATTCAAGGGTACAATTAGCTGATATTTGGGTTACATAAGTGGTCTTGTTATGTAGTAGCTGGAAGAAAGAAAGATTTAAAATGTGAAACACTTGGATTCAAAATACAGTGCATTAACTGAACCAGGGAAGATCCTAAGTGTTGAAGTGTTACAAATATACATATCATTTGAGTTTTAGTCAGGCTTCCTTCCATGACTCAGGTCACACATGGTTTATTGGGATTTTACTCAGCACAATGTATGAATCATGTATGAACCATGAGTTGGGTGATCCATATCAACAAATCATGGTTAAAACAAACTATGCTTTGTGATAAAGTGTAAACCTAATATTTATTTGGTTTGTCCCTTAAACTATGACTCTGAACTTTAGTTCAGAATGTCTCAAGACCCAGAAGAGAATAAATGTGCTAGTATTTGGCCTTGACAATTTTATTTTTACACAGCATAAATACACAGATACTTACAAGGCCGGCTTGGAATAATCATAGAAGGGCAATCTTCATCACGCATAACTTGGGCCACAGACTGAAAGCCAAAATAAAAGCATAAACTGAAATGCTGAACATTTCATTAAAAAAAAAAAGTCATTCCATTTTTTTAATGTCAAGAATTTAAAAGTTGTTATAAATTATTGGTTAGAATTTCAATAAGAACTATGAGGCTCACGTCTGACTGGCAACCTATTAATGATAAAAAGAAACCAGTAGGATTCTAGTCATGCCTTTGAACAGAAAACGTTTCAGCAGAAAATGTTTGAGAACTAAATTACCCTTTAACACAATTAACATAATGAATTTAGGACTGAAATCAAGGCTTGGTAAGGGCTTTTCAATATGAGATAATTAGAGAGCAATTTAATTTTTAAAAGAATAGAATAAGTTGCTTCAAACCAGCCATCTGACTGCAAATCAATTAGTTAATTCCAATGACTAATACCTTTTGTTTCATTCCATCATTGAAATAAAACACTGCAGGTGAATTCCTAAACTGAATTGTCAGGGGGTGGGGCAAAAAGCCAACATAGCAGGTGAGACTACCTGATCAAGGCATCGCTTTTTTGTACATGCACTAACATTATAAGATGTACAAAGGGGCAGGACTTTGGTCATGTGGCCATGAGCACCATCTTGGCTTTCCCCTGCCCCTTTCCTGAGTGAACCATATATAAAATGTTATGCTACTAATTCTTAAGTGAAAACGTGAACATAGCCATTCATTTCCTACTTTTCGGCCTGGGATTCTCCAATGTTGCTGAATCTTTTTCTTCTGCAGTTACTTAATCCCCTACTCCTACCCAGATGGTTGGGTGCACTGCAAGAGTGTCTACTGCACATTACCAGGTAAGGCTCCAGATGCCCACCATATTCATTTCTGTGAAGTTCCTAGGAACCTGCTAAGATACTGGATGCTTGGTTCCTTAGCTGATGCTGCACTTTGTAATTCAACTATCCTGGTAAAAAGTAGAGGGGCAAATGGAGACTAAAGGAACCCATTTCTCCCAGTACAGAAGTAAGTAGTGCAGATGTGAAACACAAGATAGCAAACAGAGAGATCTGGAAATTGACCACGTGGACAGACAAGAGAAGAAAAGGAAGGATATGTATGAATCATGTTCATGCAATTCATGTGTGTTTCTCCTTTAAGTTTATCCTTCTCACTGCTTCCTTACCTCTGCTCAAATGTTCTGGAGCAGAGTGTTAATTTGAGTCAGACAAGGACAGTTTTCTTTATAAATGTAGATGCTTAGCTGTTCCATTACACAAGGTTCTAATTACACTGTGATGCATTGTCTAGTGTACTGTAAATGAAGGGCTTGTTTTAAAATAATGCTGACCAGAAACTTGACCAGAAGGTTACAGTTAAGGAATCAAGAATATGGACTCTATTATATTTTTAGAGTGGTTAAGGTACAATGGAGGAGATCAGGGTTCAAAACCATTCTCATCTCAACCGAAATGCATTGAGTGACTATCACTATCTGTCAGCCCAGGGTTGCTTTTGTAGGGATAATATGAAGGAAGTGCCCCACATAAGCTGTCTTGAGCTCCTGGAGGTTATATAGAATATAAATTGAATAAACATAAATAAAATAACATTTTAAGTGGTTAGGTGATTGCATTTGGTGTTGACTTTGGCCTCTTTGAGGGGACATTCATCTAATTTCTTATTATTTTGGAGGTTTTGCAATCCATTTATATTTATTTAATGCTTTTTCCCCCTTTCCCAAAACTGCCAATTAAGCTCAATAATCAGATAATTCCAACCTGGAGGTTTTTAAGCACCACATGCAAGAAAAAAGTTTTGGAAGGAGGAAATTGGGATAGCTGACTTGTTTGCTCAGAATGATAGAAACATTTACCCCAGAAGCTTATAGCAATAGCTTTGCTGTAAGTAATCATGGACAAAGTCATAGAGATATAAATTTGCCATTGACTGTATTTATTTTAGACTGATAAAAGATGCATCTAAACTCACCTTCCGTGGCTTAGTAAACCCAGGCTTGCAAAACTGTTTGTAGTACTCCCAATAACTTCTGTAGGAAGATTGCATTTCTATGTAGGTTGCAAATCTGTCTGGGCACTTTGAGACACAAAGCTTTAAGACAAAACCAAAAACCTGACTGAAGCAGCAATGAAGGATGAGAAAGTTATATTATCAAAGTATCTAGACAAAGAATTGCCATCTCTAAAAGTGCTTCTTTTTTAACATATTGTCTGCTTAGCAAAGCACTTATATGCACACACACAGCAATTTCTTTTTCTTCTCTATTTTGCAGTCTTAAGAAGGAAATGAGAAGAGGCAGATGGATTCTTCTTCTAATTACTATAGCATTTCCCCTAGTATTCCTTCCTGTTCTAAATATCTGATAAATAATTGTAAAAATAAATTTTTAAATGAACCCCCCCCAAAGAAGACATAGTTGTATCCTGCGCAACAATTAATCAAACTGAATCTGCGAATCAGGAGTACACAACTTTTTTGTAAGCAAGGGATACATTTTTTTCCAGTTATTTATTTTATCGTCAACAGTCACAGAGAACATGCCATTGTTGGAGTGGTATTTTATCATTTTTGTTATTGTTATGCAAACCTAATGGAGGTATAACACAATTTTCCTGACAAAAAATCTCCAGGAAATCTTACTTCTGAAATATGAAAATGAGCCACAAAATGTTGGTGATGTATGTATAATATTCAGATTATTAACAGATCTTTGTCTTTAATTTTCAAAAATAATTCACTTATTATTTGTTCTTTGGTAAAATATTTGTTTAAAAGGACAAAATTAGGTCATTATCCTGAATGGATTATATATTGCATAGATAAGAATTCTTCCAAAATAATATAACTAGAATGAATTCTCTAGTTATTCATGTAGAATTGTGCATATAGATATTAATCATCTCAAAAATTTGGAAATTTTGAGACTCACCTAAGAAATGTTTTTCTTACTACTACATAAAAAGCTACAGCTAGGTTATTGTCAGAAACTCCACTCATGCGATACATTTGTTGGAGGAAAAACAAAAGGGATTATTTGCTGGATGTCTCCCCCAAAAGCTGCTGATCTAGTTGGTGATGATGAAGTTTTAACCAATATATCTTGGAAAGCACCAGATTGCAAAAAGTTGTTTTACTATCATCATTTTGCTATATCCCCTTAAGTCTGATATCTAGGAAAGACGAGTCAATAGTACATACAGTGATAAATAATGTGAAGAAGCAACATAATTGATCATTACCAAAGCATCGTTTCTAGAAAAACCCAATCCACCTTCTGCCTGTTAAAATTCCTGAAGTTAATGACATCTGGAAATCAATGCTATTGCTTTTTCCCAGTAAACGGAATAATATTGCATAGATACATATATAGCAAATAATGGATAGTCACAGCTAATCAGTCCTGCACTCAATGTATGTCCTTCTTTCTTAAATGATGTTCTAAGTAGACAGTTTCCTTTCTTTTCCATCTTAGTGGTATATCTCTTCTGAGAATACAGAATTTACATCCAATATTAGCATTTACTTCTAGTATGTCCAATACATTCATTTTCAAAACAGCTATATCAAGATATAATCTGTGTATCCTTGACTGTATATTACATACCTGTGTTGTAGGGCACTGTAGGTTTATTAGCACTATAGGGCTGGCACATTTCAGAATGTTAAAGTAAAATAAAACTGTCTTGTTCCTAGAAGATGGATATAAATCATTATTTTCACTCCATGTATATGTATAGCAATAATTAATAATTAACCAAATGCATAAATGTATAATACACATATTAAAAATTAATTCCAAAATCACTGCCTATATAGGGGATTTTTATCACAGCATTAATCTATGAAGATTAATTTTGAGAAGATTGTTCTCCCTTTGTTCAATAGGACAGGATAGCACCAATTCATGCTAATTTAATCACACATCTCACATTAATGTTTTATCACATATCCAATTCACTACTGTGCAGTAAATTTATCTTGTACATTTACTAAGTTTAAACACATACTACATGGTATCAAGAAACTGGTGTTTTTTATATTAATCACAAGGTGGCACTAAAAAATCAATCAAGAATTTGTTTGTATCTAGAAACCTATAGACTGTATAAAATCCCAAGAATACTCTTTCATAAGTGTAGACCATTCTTATGATGAAACACAAGGATGAAATATATATATATATATATAGAGAGAGAGAGAGAGAGAGAGAGAGCGCAAACAGTTGGCTTGAGCTGAGGGGGAAAAAGTTAGTTCATATATTTTTTAAGGCAAGTTCCCATTAGAAATACACTGAATTCCAGAAAGAATGGAAATAAAATATCAACAAATTAAATAGTGTATGACAAAAATGGACAGCATATTAGTGGAAAAATACTGAGTATTTCACCAAGCTTCTATCAATGGTCTAAAAGCATTTAGAACTAATATGCCAGTGTAGTAAAGTGGTTAAGATGCAGACTAAAACTAGGATCAGGGAGACCCAGGTTTAAGTTGGTGACTGGGCCAGTCATTCCCTCTCAGCCCAACATAACTCACAGGTTTGCTGTTATGGAGATACACAAAGAGAGATCCCAATGTAAGCCATCTTAAGCCCTTAGAGAGAAAGGTGGGATATGAATCCAACAAATAAAAAAAACCCCTCCAGGCTGCCTATGGTCACTATACCTCCTTTTTCAAAGGTGTGGAGGCCCCTTTGGCTGTCTCTTTAGCATGATTGCCAAAATATTTGATGCATTGAAAAGGAAACTTTCCAACGCCCTTTGAAAAAGAAATAGAAAAAATCATACCCACATTCACCTGTATGATTACTTTGCATCATTATGCTTTCTAATAGGGCCACTGTCTGCGGAGAAAAACTAAAGTGTGACCCTGGCTGTCCCCTCTTGATATATACAGTGAGTATACAACTTGGCTCTTTAAAGTTGAGGTTCAGATTGATGAATTCCAAATGCACACTGCAATGAAATTCATACAGCTGAGTGGCAATCTAACCGGAGTTGAATTGTTTGCTAGTTTCCAATAATATAGAGAAAGCACAATATAGAAGGGTAAAACCAAAGAGTAAAAGCTTTGGCTTCTTTTTCAAATTATCACACTATTGTCTTCTGAATGCAAAGTGAATATAGGTTTATATGGAGACTAACAATGAGATGAATTGGTGCAACAAGATTTCCTCACAATGTATTTGGTAACCCAAGATGGAATTAATTCTGTTATTTTAGTTCAATACCATCCCTTCCTGAAGAACTATGAATGTTGGAATTGTTTCAAAACATCAAATATTCTAAAATATTTATTTGGTATAGAATTTGTTGAAACCATTGGAACTGTTATTTACATTTTATTGCTCTATGCCAAAGCACTTCAAAGAGCAGTAATATAAAGATTAGCATGTATCTTCAAATTTAATTACCCTCAAGGCATGAATTAGAGCCAGCTTCTGGGTTTTACAAACCATAAATCTATAATCCGTATCAGCAACGGGTCAAACTTCATGAAAGCTTTTTTACTTCAAAGTTCTTATTTTTGCCTCCCAACTAGTTTACTAAAATGTTATCTTCACATATATTGAATTTTAAATTTGTAATTCGGGAAAGAATGAAATCTGCAGATAAGGCTTGATGGCTGCTGAAGATGGGTCTAAAGGATTTATAGTACAATCCTATGGATGTCTACTTAGAAATCATCCTGAACTGAATATGGGAAGGGCTATTTTCTGATGGCCAGAGGCAACTCTGAAGAGTTTGGGGATTAGGTGTTAGGCAGGGCAGGGGATGTCTGTTACATACATTACTATTAGTGTTTATTTCATAAAAATGACAAGTCATCCTGGTGATTTATTTGGTGGCATGATTGAAAGGGCCATAAAAATACATTTTGGGGCCATATATGGCTCTTTAGTAATAGACTGCCCATCCATGGTTTAGTGGACAACCAGATGAGTATGTATAGCAACTTCCCTCACCATATCACCTTGTACTGGAATTACAACACCCAGGATGGCCAGCAATTCTGGCCATCAGATAGGGAATCCTAATACATCTGGAGGCTGCATGTACCATGCTGCAGCCTTACTATGCTTTGGAAAAAGATATATTAAAATGCCATTTGTTCATAGCCACTATAAATATAGAGAAACATGTGTATTCTTGAACGGCAGAATGTCCTGAGGCAAATTGCTACAATACCCTTGTTCACACTTCGTTAAACCAGGATTTTTAAGAATTCTGATTTACTGTGCATGAGCCAAGTTGAAGATGCATGTTATTCAACTGCTCCTGTTTGGCTCTGCAGAAGTTCCTTCATGGTTTGCTTACTACACCATTTCAACATACACGACAGCTGGCAACATTTCATTTTTTGGGGTAGTTTTAAGGGTTGGGATGGAAATAATTTGCTTCCTACAGGTCTCTAGCTCTCATTTCCACACTAAATCCCAACAAAAATGGACTAGACATGTTTCGCCCCACCCTGTCTAGTCATGGCCTCCTTTAGCTTTCCATAAGGTTGGGAGGCAGAGTTGCAGCCCCTGACAGCTTAAATGTTTGCCCTATGTATGCATCAATTTAAGCAAGCAAGAGAACATTCTTGCTAGTATCAGCTTCTGGCATATGATATTGCCTGAGTAAGAGATGACAAACTTACAGAAATAAGAACCAGTCAGCTGTGCTGAGAAATTATTTTTCTCTCAGAATGACATAATGATTTCTCAGATGACATCTCACTTAAGCATTCAATTTATGTTGGCTAATCAGATCCAATGTATCTTATGAAATGTAGTTTTACAGTCACTTGGATTCATGATTAATAGTTATATAACTAAGTTATGGACAAGGTTTGGGCTGAGCTGTGACTTACTTTGAACCCTGAGTTTTTTAAAAAAATAAATCTTAATTAGAATCCCCATCAAGAAACCAAGAAATGAAAGCAGGAAACACCTGCAAGCTTTCAGTGAGACTTCTGCAAAGAAAAAGGCAATTAGGAGTCAGAAGTTAATAGTTCTGGTGCATGTGGCAGGAATAGAGATGCCAAGGAATTCAGTACTTACTCATTAGGTGTATCTTTTTGACCACAGAATTGCCCATAGCTGTCAGTTGGATATGCTACTTTTCTTGGGTCACCATGTACCCAGGCTGTAAAAAGGAGAAGGAAAACAAGAAAGCATCAAGCCATTTTGGTTGGAATTAAACTTCGTTAGTCATTAAAATGCACTGCCTGTCATGAACTGTTTTAACCTCTCCCAATAGGTTCTGACAGTATTGATTCTTCCTTAAACAGTAGTTTTTTTAATGAAAAAATATGGATGAATAGATACAAAGCAAAACATCTCGCTCTCCCGTCCCCCACTTTCCATCAGAATGTATCTGGCTTACAGCCAGAAAATGAGGTAATGCACTTAGAAGATGACAGTTATTAAAATGAGGACAGGGATGCATTACAAAAGCTTTGTTGGCATAAAGCCATACAGTAGTATTGAGCCAAGCTAAATACCCTCAACTGTCTTCATGCATGCTTCTGACCTGCCTTCTGTACGCAGAATTGTATGAACCAATTAAAATACACAGTCAGATTCCAGTTTATGCAAATCACTTTGACCCTGATCTACTCTAATTTCTACATCCTCACATTCCTCTTCATTTAATGGGGTTAAATGTAGAAATACTGAAATCAAATCAAGTCAAAATCAAAATCTTCTCCAAGGTCATCAGGATAATAATTAGAATCATAAGGCATGAAAATACAATGCCTTGTTCACAACTGTCAACAGTAGCTCAAACACTGACCTTTGCAGACCAAAAGGGAGAAGGGACAACGTAATGCATAATAACTCCCAGTGTGTTTTGCACAGCTAGATTAATGCAGAGTTTTGTTTTCTTACTTTTGTTTATAGATTTTAAAGTGTGTTTCATTCTGTCTTCATTTCAATACAAGCATGTTTCCAAAATCCATTATGTGCAGTACATAATGAGATGATGGGAGTGAATTTATTTTTCTTTCAGATACTGAGGGTTTGCCTTAGTTTATATCATATTATGAAGTTTGACCACTGTGAGAAATGACACTTGTGAAACCCTAATGTAGGCCAGGTAATATATTTAGAAAAGAGCACACCATTTTATCCATGTTATAATTTTTTTTTCCATAGCAGTTAAATAGAGGAGAATATTTCCCTCTTTTGGAAGTTTTGGACAGAAAAACAACATCCATTCAATTATTGTTTTCCTCCATAAAAAAATATTACTTTAAAATCTAATAACAACAATAAATTTTTCTTACTGGGGATTTAATTTAAATAGTTAGGCACTTATAATTTTTCAGTTAGCAATACAGAGACTGCATGTTATAAATTGTATTTTGTTGTAAAATACAATGTTTTCTTTTCATTTTGGTACACAGTTACAGTATATATTTGAACTTCTAAGCTTGAGTGGTTATTGTTTAGAGTTATGAAACTTAATACTTAAAATGTGCTCTGAAAGGCCAATCAGTAGCAAAATCTTTTCTATCAAAACTGTGAAATTTCATACAGAAGGATAATAATATTGGGAATTTTGTTCATAAAACTGCTATTCTAATGTAGCCATGCTTCTGTGGACTACCTGTAATACTTCTAATATGAGGCTTTCAGGCATCAGAAACACTCTCCACTCTTGCATATTACGTACATTGTGTTATATTATTTTTTAAAGTAAGTGTTTGATACTGTATCCCTTCTGAATATTAAATCTATGTCCATGTACTGTTTGTTCCCACACATTGATCAAGATTACCACCAGTACATCGACTGTGCAAGAACAGTGCTATTTCTCTGTAAGAATTCAATAACACTCTCTCAACATTATACACAATCAAGTGAAGGGTTGAATTTAAAAATCATGATGTAGATGTGATCTATGCTTAACCTGCCATTTTAAATAGTTAAACTGTTCATCATTCATGAACTTGTATGTTTTTGGACATAAGAGAAAAATCTACTCTTGTAAAGAGCAGGATTTTTCTTCAAATACTGCTCCTGAACATATGACAAAATGAGATTTCATTATTCTTTTATTCCTTATTGCAGCCAAAATATCCAGAGCCAGTTGATATTAGTCGTCTTTAATATTTTGTATTATATACTCTTTAGTGCAGTTTCTGTATCAACCACCATCTTTCTGAGATTATGGTATTCTTTTCAAGTATTTCAATATTACAAAACACTTCATTTTCATTTGTCTTCCCTGCTGTTATTACTGTTATTCTTCCCAGAAGTACAGTCAATAACATGAATAAATACTGCATGTGAGATGCATTAAACAAATAATTTAGAGTGATCTATTACAGCCAACATCTGTTTATAGAATACTCTCTTCTGAGAACTATAGATAAGTACAACTGCATACTGCCATACTTGACACATATATCAAAAGGTGAAGATTGCTTGCATTGATGTACAGGTAGTCCCCAGATTAAGAATGACCAGTTTAAGGATGACCCATAGTTAAGAATGGAGTCTTTTGTAGCAAAATTCGAGTTAAATACACAATGATTTGAGTTAAATACACAATACTACTTATACAGCCTTATACAATAATACTGTTCTGGCTTACATACAAATTCGACTTGACAGACCTTGGAAACAGAACTCATTCTTAAACTGGGGACTACCTGTAATGTTGTTTTTGTCATTTGATTCTACCCCTTGACACACACACATACACACCCCTTGACACGGTCTCTCTGGATTCCAACTTCCCTAATCATACACATCTTTCCCATCATCCCTTTGAGCAGCTTTCCCCAAGACATCTGAAGGGACCAGACTGAAGAAAGTTGTCCTCAAAACTCATCACAATCTCTCTTTTATACACAAGATCCCTCTTAAGTCCTTCAGTCTTTAGTTTGTTTATGTCAGAACAAAACATTGTTCTTTAAAAGAGTCATCTAGATAAATAACATATTTTAACTTATAATATTTTTAGAACACCAGTCTGTCTGTTATAAAAGCATAGCAGGAAACTTCTTAAGTTTTGGATAATAGATCGAATATTCTTTCATAATAAAAATTGCATTTTTTTCTCCTTTTGAATTATTGCATTGTTTTATCATTTATGATATTTTATAAGAACTTGGTGGTTTTCTTTCATGTTGCTAGGCCCAAACTATTTTAGGTTTCTGCCTTAATATAGCAGAAAACTCAAAATATAAATATTTTAGACTGGTACTTATAAACATGCAATCATAGCTCTCCTTACACTGGTGTTTCTATTGCTCTCCTCCACCTATAATATTCACACCTGCCTCTTTTCAAATAAGCTCCAATGCTTCCCCAATAGATTTCCATTCTACTGGAAAATAATCAGAATGGGAAAGAATTGTGAATCCTACAAAAACATCACTGGATGTTAAATCAATGATAGCCCAGTGCAGCAAATAACAACACTTGGAATAAATATTTCTGAGACTCATAATTATTCAAAAGCAGTGATCACTGAAACAGAACACTGAAAGGTTATTATCATAAATCACTAACTTTGAGATTGTAAAAGATTTGATTATCTTTGCATGTCTATGTCAAATCTGAAAAACCAGTAAGAGCCAAACTCTATGCTTAATATTACAGAGCTAAATGTTGCTCGACCAGTATTTTTTCCCATCACCATAAAAGTCCATATTTTAGAAAGGGCCATGAACTTTAGATGTTTCAACTCTAAAATGTGGACTTACTGATTAAACAACAACAACAATGAAGCTAGTTGAAAATTTTTAAAATTCTAGTCAAATGTAAATATAGGGTCACTCATATCTAATTGTAGACAAGAGATAAAAGCTTTTCTCCCCTGTTCTTTTATAAAGAGCCAGAAATATATAGATCCTATTGAGCCATGAGAAGCCTTAGGCACAACTGTGACTGTGAACTGATTTATACTCTATTTTCCCTTTATATGAACTTCATTGACTCTCATACATTTTGAACAGGACAAGTGTCTGGAGTCTATCCAAAGCTGATCTCATCTCTCAGTTAAAAATAAAGCACATGGGCAAATGGGAAACAAGAAAAGGAAATTGTAATTTAAAAAAGAAAGACAGATGTGAATGCTACCAGTTTGTAAGGGAAAAACATTTCAGACAGAGTGTGAGACGCAGAGAGAAAGAAGCTCTACGGGTGTGCGTATGTGTGTGTGTGTGTGTATGTGTACAAAAATGGATTTCATTTTGAGCTGCTTTTGAGCATCTGCTGGTGTTCAGAAATTTAATTTGATATTTGATATTCTGTCCTTAGAGTCAGGGCAGGTGCAAATGTGATGTACATGTACAAATTTTCAACAGAGGCAAAGCTGACCATATTGTTGGTGACTCAAGCGGTGAAGAAAAATGGAACTGGTCAAGCATTCAGTCATTATTTCCATCAATTTTTGACATATTTCCCACAATATATTATTTAGAGAAACCTCTCATAGAAAACTGCCATGAAATCCCAGCCAGAGGATTAAGAAAGATTTTTGTAGTACCAGAAAGTGCAAAGCTGTAGAAACATCTAAGGATGCAGCACAATGGCAAGCTTCCAACTGTTTTTCTGCTAGTCACCCCCCCCCCCAATCATCTGATCAATTCATTTTTCATGATGGCACACCAGTAAGAAAAGTTTTTTTAAAAAAATTAAAGAAACTATTTCATAAAGATATGATCTACAGCGAAATACAGAATTAGTGAGCCATGATTCTAATGGGATGAAAGTCTTCTCTACGCATAAAATCGCTTTTGCTTCAGGGAAGATGCATTGGCAGTTTAATCTCTACCAGGATTTGCTGCTGCTTTCAACTGTATCATCCCACGGTTTACATTTTCTGCACCAAGGCATGTGAAGTCACTGTGTGGTGGAACCTAGAGTGCCTTTGAAATCTAAGTTTCTTCTATTTGCTGTGACTGTGAGTGAAATATTTTTATAAGCATCAATAGAGTACTTCAGGACTTGAGGCTTAATGAGATCTTTACTACTTTGTCAAAACAGAGGCCTGTTTCCAATGGTTAGCTATTTATTAGGCCTAGATCATAACCTGAAATCTGAGAAACTAATATGGCTTTAAAAGATACTACTTGAGAGGTTTGTGTCAAAGGTAAGTAGAACTCCTTTTCTAGCAGGCTGATCAAAAACTGAAAGGAAATACAGTGGAACCTCGGTTTATGAACTTAATTCGTTCCGTGACTCTGGTCATGAGCCGAATTGGTCGTGACCCAAAGCAAATTTTCCCATAAGGTTCAATGTAATTACCGTTAATCTGTTCTGGCGTGGAGGACAGGGAGGCGGCTATTGCTTGGAGGGAGAGTCCCCCTACCTACGACCAGGGGTGGAAAATGGCCGTGGATCATGTGTCAGGGGCGGAAAAATGGCCGCAGATCACATGTCAGGGGCGGAAAAATGGCCATGGACCATGTGTCAGGGGCGGAAAAATGGCCGCGGACCACGTGTCAGGGGCGGAAAAATGGCTGCGGACCACGTGTCAGGGGTGGAAAAATGGCCGCGGACCAGGTCACGGGAGGGAAAATGGCCGCGGATCCTGTTTGTAACCCGAGGCAGAGTTCGCTAACCAAAGCAAAATTTTGTGGCCGGAGCTGGTCGTCACCCGAAAAGTTCATGAACAGAAGCATTCGTAATCCGAGGTTCCACTGTAATGTAATTTCCATCATGAGGATTTATAACGTTGTTCAGTAACTTTGAACTTTGTTCAATATAAGTACAGTGACTATATTTTATTGGAAATTATAAAGAAAATAAATAATTAAATTAAATAAATTTAAAGGCCAGTTTTATGACATAAAGGACTATCCTTTATAACAAAGAATGCATGGTCACTGAAAGTATAAGGGAACCTGGGCAACTATATGTTCAGCCCATGTTCCCATGTCCCAGTGAATTCATTTCTGATCCTGAATAGATTTTTATTGTTGGAAAGGCAATGTTATTTACCTACCATCACCTCTTTTTTCTCCCTGGGAATTATAGAACAAGAAGACAGAGATAGCCAAGTCTTAAGACTGGGCCATAAGATAGTTGCTTGATATCATCATGTGAATCAATATTGTATTCTGAGCATCACTTCTCCAACAGTTAGCTGAACACAGATTTATTCTTTAAAAGTAGATGCAAAATAATATTTTTGTTTAATTAACTGCAATATAAATCCAGGCAAATGTGACATATAGATGCCAAAATTGTCTTCCATACATCCAGTTCCTTATTGCATGCTGCCCCATACTCTTAAAAGTTCTCGTACGTTTACTTTTGGTTATTTGGAGCTTCTGGAATTCAAATTCAATCTGTTTAGAGAAGATGCACAAAGAGCAAACAGCAATATTGATATCAATACATAGCATCAATACAATTGGATTAACTATTCGGCTATTTCACTTCTGTTTTACTTGTGTAATTATTGCAGAATATGGATCTACATTGTTATTGAGGAATACTGTGATGACGTAATTTATTCTAGCAGATAAGGAGTACTTATTCTATTTTCTTATTGACATCGCTTGTGTAATGTACCACCTCTTTTTGTTACCTATTGGCTTTTTTGTTACTTTTGTTAACTACTGAATATTACTCTAAATCTATACACAAAACAATTATAGGCAAAGGTTGCATTAAAATGTCCTCTGAAGAAACAATGCAGTGTTTTGTTTAAAAAAATGTTCATACAAGATTAAATTCAGTTAAACCCATTTCAAAGGATCATCCCCAATAAATAGATAATATCCATGCCACTGTTGCTTGCTTTCACTCAGGATGAAATGACACGGAGCAGCTGCTGGCCTATGTCTTTATTCCTTTAATACAGTCAGTATATATTGATACATATGTACAATGTGCATGGTGTATTCATGTGAAAAACATAGTGTGATGATGCCATGTCATTCATTGTTTATTTATTTATTTTATTTATTTATTTGACTTATCCCCGCCCATCTCCCCACAACGGGGGACTCTGGGCGGCTTACAACAAACTAAAATCAGAAATACAATTAAAAGTTATAAAAACCAGACATTAC